GTTCGCCGGCGAAATGACAAGCCATCACCCAAATCAGCCGGCGAACCTCTGAACCTCTGTCGCCTCCTGCAGCAATCCTTCTGTTGTCGCGTCGCCTTCAATTTCAGATCTGTGTTGCCTTCATCCTCCACCATCAGATGGCGTAGATCCGCTTTTTTAACTAAGGGAAAGCCTTCACCTTTAAATACATGACCCAGATGGCCACCACAAGCTGCACATGTAATTTCAATCCATACCTTTTGGCTCCAGGAAGACTTTCAACCGGAGTTGAATTTAGTTGTTGCCTTGTAGAGAGGAGTTCCACATCCAGCACAGGCTGTAGAGATTGTTTACAATAACCCTAGACCAGGAATTGCAAGAAGGCTTCTTAAATCAGCTCTGAATGAAGCAGCTAGGAAAAGAGAGATGAGGTACAATGATCTTAAGAAGCTTGAAAAGGGAGTGAGACGGTTCTTTCACGATGATATTACAGTGGTCATCATCTTTATAGATCACGAGTTGCTGGTGAAAAATACTACAGTGCCAGAACTATCAATACGAGGGTTCGTTGACACTGTTGGGCCATCAAATTTTAACATTCTGCAAGGGATGGATGCGAAAGCAAAAGCGAAAAATGTTGTTTGAAGGAGAGTGCCCCCTTACTTGAATTGTTCAGTCCTGCTTGGAGAAGCGTAGGTTCTGCTAAGTTTTCATTTTCCTTCAACTTATTCCCAACATCTAATGGTTGTTTCTAGTGATATTGTTTTTATCGTTCTGAGTTACTACTATTTCAATTGGAACCTCCTTTTCTGCCATTAAGATATGCATTCTCCAGTGATTTTATTGGTTCGATTTATATTTTTTTGAAAGAAAAATTTGTTGTGAGCATCTGTTGAATTTGCTCTAATGCTTTTGTTTTTAGAGGGAAATTTGCTCTAATGTTAATCTAATTTTATTCTGCATGAGCATCTTGAAATTCATTTGCACATTAGGTGAAATCAATAATATTATGATTTAGAAATCAAGAAAGGTTTTTTGGGAAAAATTAATTTAAAGTATTATATGGTATGGCTTGAGTGATATTTTGCAAAGTAAAAAATATTTTAGGTGTGTATTTTTTATCTGTCATCTAACAAAGGTAGGTTTGTCTATTTTTTACTGTATCATTAGTTGGTGCTCACAATGGCAAATTAAAAATTGTTCAAAATTAGAATTGTGTAGGCTAGATTTGTTTTGAGTGTGGGCTTTACCATAGCAATTTTAAACATACGCCACAGAAAGCAGATTATATTTACTTTTCTAAACATGTTTTTGCATACATACCATTTATGTTTTATTTAGGTACAAAAGTAGTTAGGGCTGAGATAGGGTTATTCAATTCGTGAAAATCGCTCAATTCGAACTCTCTACATTTATTTGGGTGGTTTTCGCAGAATCATTAAGGTCGGATGCGGGTTAGGATTTTTTTATTTTGCGGGTTGCAGACCAGTCGCTGGTTTTACCAACATCTGTATTCACTTGCACGCATCTGTATACATTTTTTTTTTTTTTTTAAATATGTATCGTCAAAGTTTCTTGTAAGTTTTGTAAATGTGTAACCATATTCTTCTCGGCTTTCACTCACTTGCAAGTAAATAAATGTTTTACAACTTGTTTTGCATTACAAGTATGGAAATCCAACAAATATTGATAACTTGTAATAAAATGAGTAAAATGGCTTATTCATGGTTATGCTGCTTGTTTTTCACTAGTTGGTGGGTTTAGCAAACCCTAAAATCAATTTTTCAAAAGAGATGTTTGTTTCATTTTTATTAAAACAACTATGAGTTTTATTTAACTTATACATTTTATGCAAACTGAATGTGAGTCAATTGACTGATCATGACCTATGCTTATGGTCTATTTGTTGGATAAGTAGACTATAATTTATTTGGGATAAATCATTTGAAAAATAATAATTTCATGATAAGAAATATGTGATTTTATGGCCTAAAATAATATTTTAAAAATAAGGGGAAATAGCCTAGAAAGAATATTCAAAAAATGAGAAAAAACAAGCCCAAAAATAAAATTTTAAACAATAAGCCCAATTTGCAAACCGCCAGCATATTCGCAAATCCTATCTACACAAACCGCAATCCGCACTACGGGGAGTTGCACGTTTAATTTTTTTCAAATTGCAAACATGCAAGCGAATTCAAACTACAAACCGAACTGTCAAAAATTGATCCGCAAGCACCCCCAGTATATATAACAAACAGAGTCTATATGTATAAACAGAAAGTCTATGAACTGTCCGAAAAAAAATTCAAAATTTGATGAATTTATAGAACTGCTGTGTTAAAAATGACTAGCTACAGCAAATTATTTTTTAAAAAAAAATTACACTTTTTAATTAACCATTTTACCCCTCCTGAAGCCAACAAAACCAGCAATTTGGGCATTAATTGTAACAGTTATATCAATTGTTTTTGGAAACGAGAATTAATCTTAGGTAGGATTTTCATAAATATCTCAGGAGTGCAAACTCAAGATACAAGCAATGATATGCTAGTCTCACATATTAGGTGAACTATAACTTAAGACCAACTCGCCAATGTGACCATCTGCTAATCTCACATATTAGGTGAAACTAGAACTTAAGACCCACTCAACCATGTCAGTGCTAAACTGATTTCGAATTTTGATAGTAACATTCAAGAGGCTTTCAAATTCCCACTCGTGCCTTATGTTAGAGACCCAAAACTAATTAAATGTCATTCTCCTGCTGA